CCCACGAGCCAGATTTTCCGCTTGCACACGGGGCATTGCAAGGTCGCTCCGTAAAAGGGTTGGTCCGGGGCCTCTGGAATTGGGGTCGAAAGCCAAAATCTGCCACTGACACAATCAGATTATCCTTAAAGAGGGCGTCCTGCCTGTATTTGAACGATCTTCCCTGTTTCTGTGACGGGTCCAAGAGGAGATGTTTCCCGGCGTCGGGATTCAAATCGCCCCCTCGCTGGAAGCCAGCCTTGCAACACCACTTTAAACGCTCCATTGCGAGGCGGCTGAGGAAGTCGTTGTGGCATCGATACGTGCTTTCTGCAAAACGCTTTTGCTATATCCGTCCTTGTTGCTGGGCAGAAAGAGCGACGCAGCCTGGCCAAGCGGAGAAACACGGCCCGCTTGGCCAAGGAGACTCTTCCTGCTCGAGTTTTTCCGTGGAAGGGGCTTGGGTTTGCCGTGACACGTACCCACGAGGACCAGGAAGCTCAGCTGTCCGTGCCGACGCCAGTACATCGTTTTCCGAACGTTTGGGGCCTGCCTTAGACTTATGCCCCCTAACCCCATTCCTACATTTTTGGCAGGCTTTCAGCCTACAAGCAGTGAAGCTTTTCATCGCAGGAAGCTGAACTCCGCTGACTTCCTTCCCCCCATCTCTTTCTTCCTTGCATTTCGGTCGTGGCTGGTTGGGTTCTGCACAGGCACTCGTACAAGCTCTCCTCTTGCTGTATCTCGCTAAGTTCTGCTTGAAGGTCCAGTCCGCTTCACCCTGGGCCCCACAGAGAATTCACCCCAGTTGCGTGGCTCGGGAAAAGTTTTACCGTGTTGGTTTGGAACGATTTTATCCCACTTCTCAAGCCAAAAGGGAGGCACGGCCAAGAAGGGGAAGGAAAAGTAGTTTCCTTTGCATCCTGCTTGCATTTTTCCCCGCCGGGGGGTGGGGGTTCAGGTTGAAAAGGATCCTGGACATCGAAGAGGATGATCAAGGCCCAATGTTCTCTGAGCTTGATTGCCACAGTGCGCTCTCTGTGGGACTTTCCTTGTTGGCCTAATTTCAGATGGAGCAAAGATGGGTAGGAGTTTATAAACAACCAGCGTTGCCCAACAGTTGCAGCTTTTCCTCCCTCCTGACGCATAAGCAAATTGAATTGACCACTTCTCGCATCTGCACACCCCCTCACCTGGAACCCTTCGGTTTTTCAGAGGAATTTGCCCCTGAGCCTCTGGCTGCTTCGGCCACCCCGTCTTCTGCAGGCACCGGGTGATCCTGGCCGCGCAGTTGCAGAAAGTGCTTTGTACGGGCTCAGGGCGGGATGCGATGCTGGCACTGAAGCTGTTCCTGGAGCTGAGCCCCAGGGAGCCTTGATTCAAAGGATGGCCAGAAGACTCTCATTCTTAGGGTCAGTTTTGGAATTGTTACCCTACAGCAATAGGGTACAACGGGAGCGTTTCCTTCTTCCGTTGTTTGAATGTACAGTACAGTTTTGTTTTGAAATGCACACGCAGCCAGGAAGTGCGTTGTAGGCAAATACATAAAATCTGGGTTTCTGCAACTGGCCATCCTGGGACGCTTCATTCAAGAGTCAGCGTTTCTCCAAAACCGACTTCCTTCTGCAGGGCTTGCTTCCCCCATAGCTGATTGCACAACTTTTCCCTTTTCAATGGAAATGAGGAAATGGGCTCCATTCTTTGCAGAACCGAGAGGACCAGGTTTTAGTATGAGGACAGCCCACCCAGTGTGGGGAGAAGGGGAACCAAGAAATGCCCTCGGGCTCTCGTTGGCAGCTGGCCTGCAAGCGAAGTCCAGCCCAGCTGGGAATTGCCATTGATCTTTCTCAGGCAGAGGCTGTGGGTGGGAATGCCCCAGTACCTCAGGAGGGGGAACAAAACCTGGAGTTTCCAGCCTGGGTTTTCAGGGCTTTTCTTCCTGTAAGGACTTTGTGGATGGCTGATTTGAGGCAGAGCATGAGTGTTTTCAGCCAGGGAAGACAGCGGGAGGGGATTTGAGTCTACAGCCCCCCTCCTGCCCCAAAAAGTCTACAGCAGGGCAGTGGATGCTCTGATCATCTTTTGGAGGACCTTCTCTTTCACCCAGTAGGGATCAAGTTTCTAGCTCTCCTTGTGGGAAGGATATCTTGGGTGCCACTTAAAAATGCCCCCTTTTATCATCACACAGTGTTCTCTGTGGCTGCCACGCGTGCGTCCTTGAGGCCCAAGTGCGAGGAGCACTGAGTCATCCAGGGCTGGCCTCGGCCCTCACGCCGTTCCTCAACGCCGTGTTCGGCCACGCACGAGGCGGCTTGGTGCTCTTCCTGGGGACCCGAAGGTCCTCCCTTTGTGCTGATGCAGCCGTTCTGCACGAGGACTCTGCAAAATGCACACCCCAGCAGGATGGGCCTGCTGACTTGCCAGAAAGGTAGCGAGCTCCAGCTGAGCCCCATCTGCTTGGGGGCGCGGTGGACGTTTTGGTCCTCTTCTGAAAGCAGGGAGTCGGGCTCGTCCCAGCTGGCTGGGGAATTCTGGGAGTTGAAGTCCACCCATCTTCAAGCTGCCAAGGTTGAGAAACACTGCCTTAACCTGAAGGGCGGGGGGAATAGCTAACATTCCTAGCATAGCTACCAATTTATCTTAACCTTAGCTACGTGGATCCCTCGCGACAGATTCCAGCAATATTTACTTTGACCGCATTCCTTCTGGCCCCACGCAGAAACCCTTGCTTGTTGCTGCCTAGCAAGAAAGGTCCGTTCCTAAGCCGAGAGCTTTGTAAACTGAGGCTGTTAGTGCCCCGTGTTGGAAAGTGGGGAGGGGGGGTGGAAATGTCTAGCACGGACGGCTTGCTCCCTGCTGCTGCTCTTCCCAGTGGCCCAAAGCAAGGGGAATTGCTTGAAATTCTCCTGTTTTGAGTTGGTTTCCTTTGCAGGATGATGCGTCTTTGCACGGCCAGCCCAGGCCTGAGGGACAGCTGAAGCACAGAAAGGGGATTTTTATTATTTGCTCTGGGGCTCAAGGGAAGACAGATCCCCGGTTCTGAGAAACGGGAAACGGGTGGATTACGGAGGAGATACTTTTTTCCCCTTGATCGAGCAGGAAGTAAAAGTCGCTGTTCGCTTAGCTGCAGCCCTCTGGGAACAGGGAACCACCTATCCCTGGGGTGCCCCTAGCCAGGTAGACTGCCTAGGAGATCAGAAGCTCCGCTAGCCATCGCAGGAACTCTCCTCTTCCAGGAAGCATTCTCTTCCCCCTTTAAAGTGCCTTTGCTCTGCACAGATCGCCGTTCCGCCACCTTAGCCGTTGCCTTTGGCCCGGGAAGCCCCAGGAAGCGTTTCCAGCTCCTTGATGATTCCTCGGGAAGGGCGCGTGCCCTGTGGGGCATTTGGGGGGCCCTCGCGGGCTGCTCCTGTCCACCCGGGTACCAGCCCCCTTAGAAGCAGGGCCCTCTTTCCAACCCACACCCCCACCCCACGTTCCAAGGCAGGGTCTCTCTGAATCTCGGGGCTGGGGAGGTCCTGGGGCGGACGGAGGCTGCCTCTCCCGATGCTGTTGCTGTCCCCAGCTTGGCGCCCCTGGGCAGGAGAGGAAAACAGCCAAGGGCTCTTTCCGCATGCTGGGGCTTGCCTGCCGCCGGGTTGGCTGGGTTCAGGTATCGGCGGAGCTGGAATCCAGTTCCAGTGGGTTGTTTACCTTGAACGAGGCGGCTCTGACTCAGGAGCCTGGAATGCATCTGTCCGGAACATCATGTTCCCAACCGGCAGAGCGGCAACGCCGCCGTCGGCACCCTGGCTGGATCTCGGATGACCTCAGCAGCGCTGGGCCTCCGCTCGGCCCCAGCCGCTTGTTTCCTAGCAGGAGGAATAAAGCAGCTGTGTCCTAACCAGGCATTTCCTCCCCACCCCGCCGGCTAAAACGCTCCGTCCTCGTTGCAGGCGTGGTTGGATCCATGCTCGGCATAAGCCTCCCTGACTCGTGGGGAGTAGGCAGCACGGCTCTGCTCTTTGGGCTGGCCCAGGCAGGCTTCCGCTTTGGAAGGGTTTCCCACTGTTCCCTAGGCATGTGCAGAGTCGTTTTGCAATGTGGCCGTGTCTCCCAGAACACACAGGGCCGGGACAGACCGCTGCTCTCCAAAGTGAACGAGCTGAGAAAGGAGCTTTCTGCCCACCTCCCAAGCCAAGGGCACTCAGCTTTGCTGATGACCAAAGGTTTTAACCTGGCTCTCTCCAGGCTTTCAATGCCAAATCACGGCTCTTTGGAAACGCCACTTCTCCTCTGTCCCCTGCCCAGGTTCGGCAAATGCCACAGGGTGAGGTTCTCCTTTTCTCCTAACGGACTGATGGCTTCCTCCCATTTTTGTCCCGTGACCCAGTCTGAATTAGGGACTGCCAGATGGAGGATCTACTACGGTCACCGTCCAAAACAAAGGCTCGGAACTTGCCTGGTGGTTTCGCAGCGCCTCCTCGTGGTAAAAAAGAGGCAGCGCCTTTGTGGCCGACGCAGCAACGGTGGCAGAAAGCAATACGGGTAAAGTCTCTGAGTCCACCTCGACTTTGGTCTACGTAGCTTTCTTGGCAATGGCACAGAAGGGGTTGGCAACAATTTCAGAAGGTCTTTCTTTTTGACTTCCCGGCCCTAGGATTTCCTAGTGGTCTCCCCTCCTTGTACTAGCCGGATCTTGCAAGTTCAGCCAAGCACAGTTCGACGTTACCACCTAGCTGGGCAGCTTCATGCTAGATGGACTAGTAAAGATTAAAAGCATATTCATATCCTCTACTCCCAACGCTTTCACAGGTGAAAAAGTTCTCACGGGCCTCACAAGGAATGTACTGTCCTTGGCTGAGGAGGATGGCAGGTGTAGTCCAGGGTATCTGGGGATTGAAACTGGGGGAAGCTGGTCCCTGATTTAAGTTCAGCTTTAGGCCCTGATGAGAGAAGGAAGGTAGGAAGATTCTGGTCCTTTCTAAAACTTTCTAGGCAAGCAAGAGCAGGGACATAGCGGGTGTTTCCTTGGTGTTTGTCCTAACTTGACAAAACAAACAGAGTTCTTTTTAAGAAAAAAAAAATCTCTGCATAACTTTATTCAGGATTTACAACCAAAACCATAGATGGGAAGGAGAGGGTTAGGAGGAGAGGAAGGAGCAAGCAAGGGCTTCCAAATCAGATCAATACAAAATCAGGAGGGAGACGAGAATATCCCCAGTTTTTAAACTTCAGTTTGGGAGCTCTGCCAAGCAGGCGGAGAGCAAAATCTTTGGGAAGTTGGCTGTGAAATGATTGTCTCTAAATACTGACGCAAAAGGCTGCTGGTGGTCAAGGGATTTCCGTGTGAAATGCAACAGCCCCCCCATCACCACCCCAGGTGAAATATAAACCCCAAAATGTCAAAAGCTGAGAATGAAACATTTCCTCCTCTGCTCCCAGAAAGGTCATTCTGCCTCTAGTAACAAGATGCAAAGAAGGGGATTTTTAGAACCGGAGTTCCCTTGACTTTGTCGCTGTAGTCTGGAGCAGACAGGATCCCCACCCCCGTCTGAATGCCCTACCCTGTTCGCATTTTCCACCTGGAGCCGTTGGGGAAGAGAAAGCACCGATGATCATGAGGCAGCATGAAAAGGAGGTTGGGTGGGTAAAGAGTCTTCCAAGCTCATGCTTTTCCCCTTTTCCTTTCGACACACGTGCGTTGGGTTTTTGTCTTAAGGAGGAACGCGCAAGGAAGCAGACCGAAGGAACGGGGCGTGGGGAGAGGTATCAGCTGGGGGCTTGCCTTGTCAGCCCTGAGCTGCTCGCGGCCTCCGCTGACTTTTCGCGGTCTGCGCTGATCCGGTGCAAACGTCCCGTTGGCGCCCACAAGCCCGAGGCTGTCGGACGGTCCTTGGACAGCGGCGGGCGAGATTTGAGGGAAAGATCCGTGGGCTGCAGATCGGGATCAAAGGAGGCGCACCTCTCCGGCTTGTCCAGCTCCAGTGGCGAGGACTCCTGCAGGCCCCGTCCAAACCCTTTGGGTGGGATCAGAGGACTCGGCATCCTGGCTTTGATGACGCTCAGGTGATAGGGCGAGATCTTCCTGGTGGGCGCCACAATGAGGTTCCGCGCCCCCACCGGGGGTCCTCCCCTCGGCTGCTCGGGGGCCGGCCTCTTGAGCTCCACACCGAGGGGGACCTCCGCTTGGGAACTCTCTTTTTTCAACTTCTGGGGGGAAGCATTTGAAGGGGCGGGGGGCTTCTTTTCCACCCCCGGCCACCCCATGGGGTG